CGTTTCTGTCCATGCATAACACATATTATGCCTCTAAATGTCAAAGAGATCCCAATTTGATCATTAACGGACATGTGAAGTGCAATGTCTCACTTTGGAACACATGGACATTGATTATTGGCAAGGTAGAAGTAGCGATGTCTACTCAAAACAAAAATGAATGCTATATTGCCTTATCACCGCATATGAGTAAAGCTATTATATTACAAAATGTTTCATTGGCGAATATATGGGATCCAGATCTGTGGCCATTTTCATTTGCTTTATTGCATGCAAGAATGAGTGTTGGTGTATCGATTGAACTGATTGGTATTGCTCGAAATGACACTATTTTAAACCAACACACACTGGGTAAGAATTTATTTCCACATATGAATGAACAATGTGCAGTTAGTTGTTTTCTTCCTTAGAATCGAATTCAATGAACAAACATCGTATGAGACTTCAAAGGGACATGCATAAAATCATGGTGAAGATTCTTTTTCGAGCTCACAGAAATGAACTTTTCGAAGAGCATGTGTGGTGTGACGACATCGAATTGTTTATCGATTATGGAACCGAGTTCGAAGGCGGACCAAGTATGTAACCCAAAAAAAAATAAGCTTTTTGATGTGTGAGAGCGCGTGTGAAATAGAATTCAATGATATCTTCCGACCAATTTCAATTTCGTAAACAAATTTCAATTGATGTTTATGGCATCATGTTTAGAAGCTATTTTCTTAACTGAAGTTTTCCTAAGATTTTTCATAACAGTATGAATATGTGTCAAAAAAGAAATTATCAGGCGCTTTTTTATGCAATATATTTTTGTAAAATACAACCTGAAAAGAGTACTGATGTAGCTAAAGTAGAAAATTTGAACTCGTCCAGTACCCTCACTCATCACAGACCGTTACTATAGGGTTGTCTTTTAATAACTAAATTATTTTTCAGATCGCGTTAACATGAGTTAATTAGATTGTTAAATTTCAATTAATCACTCATTAACTTACGCTATTCATTGATGAGCTCAGCAATCGTCATCAGTTCTAACGGTAATCAATAAAATATACAAAAAAGAGCGAAGCGAATACAGAGTTAGCAAGCGGATACCTAACTTCTCATAGACTTCGACTTTTTCCCCACACTTTAAAGACATTACAACATAAAAAAATTATGGTAACGGAAAGCACACTAGAACAGAAAGTTCAAAGTCCGAATAATAGAATTTTTCGTTAGTTAGATTCAATGGTAATATCGAGTGTCACATTCTAATTCAAAAGGATTTGGACAAAAGGCTTTTCCTCAAAAATATTTTTTCCACTATAGACATTCCTGTGGATGCCAAATGGACATCAACTGGTGTCACTCTTCTTGAGAAATTGAATCATATCACTGGTGGCCTTACTATTGATAAATATGATAATACAGCATACGTAGCTGATGGAAATAAAATCCGAATCGTGATTTCAACATCAACCGACAACAATGAACATGTAGTCCCTCCAGTTACTTTGGCCACCAGGGAATTAGATCGGTTGACTTACCCCAGCGATGTTTTGTTCAATAGAAAAAACAATTCTCTCCTTATTTGTGATTACGAGAATCACCGTGTAATGCGATGGTCTCTTCAGCATCACACAACTGAAGGTCAAACAATCCTCAACAATATCGGCTGTTTCGGATTGGCAATGGATGATGACGGTGCTCTCTATGTCAGTGACGAAGAGCGACATGAAGTAATAAGGTATACTGGAGGAAGTACCGAGAAAAGAGTCGTAGCTGGTGGAAATGGAGTAGGAAAAGGACTTAAGAGACTCCACAGACCTTCCTACATCGCATTGGATAATGATAGTGCGCTCTATGTGTCAGACACTGGCAATCATCGCGTAATGAAGTGGATAAAAGAGGCTAAGGAAGGCATTATCGTAGCGGGTCACGAAGGATATGGCAGTCAACTAGATCAATTAAATGAGCCCATGGGTCTTGCGTTAGACAAAAAGAACAATTCTATCCTTATTTGCGATTTCGGAAATCGCCGTGTAATACGATGGTCTCTTCAACATCACACAACTGAAGGTCAAACAATCCTCAACAATATCGATTGCTTCGGATTGACAATGGATGATGGTGCTCTCTATGTCAGTGACGTACGGCGACATGAAGTAATAATGTATACTGAAGGTAGTAGCAAGAAAATAGTTGTAGCTGGTGAAAATGGAGCAGGTGACTTACTGAACCAACTGAATTACCCTAGCAAGGTCATATTAGATAGCGATGGCACAATCTACGTGTTAGATCAAAAAAATCATCGTGTGATGAAGTGGATGAAAGACAAAAATGAAGGTGTCATTGTGGCGGGCCACGGACGAAGGAAGGATCTTTTATATTATATCACTGATGTGCTATTATACAAAGATTTCTTAATCTTGTGCGATAGCGGAAATAAACGTATCCTGGGATGGCCTCTAAGCAGAGACACAGAAGTGTATTATAAAAATAATGAACTCTTTGATGATATTCGTTGTCAGAACATAGCAATGGACAACGAAGGCGCTCTTTACGTTACTCTCGCAAATGCTCATGAAGTCAGACGCTATCCCAAAGGAAGTACGACGGGCACGTTCATAGCCAGTAAAGATCCGGAAGAGAGTCGACCGAAAAATCCTGGACAACCTTTTACAGTCGCAGTGGATAATGAAGGTGCAGTGCACATATTAGATACTGACAATTATCGGGTGGTGAAATGGATGAACGGAGTACAAGAAGACATTATTGTGGCGAGTCACGATGAATATAACTATCAATTAAATTACTTCAGCAAACCGTCTGCCCTCATGTTCGACAAGAAAGGCAATTCTCTCATCATCTGCAACTTAGAATACCCTAGTGGTGTAATCCGATGGCCTCTTCAAAAAGGCACTAAGGAAGGCGTAGAAATTATAAGCGGCATCGCATGTACCGGTTTAGTGATGGACAACGAAGGTGCTCTTTACATGACACCTCAACATGAGAAGAGAGTGCTCCGATATCAACCAGAAAGCAAGAAGGAAACTACCGTGGTTTATTTTCCACGATCAATGCAATCTTCTTACTTCACTGTGGATGACAATGGCACTGTGTACGGCTCAGACACTAATAACAACTGTGTGAGGGTGTGGATGAAAGATGGAACCAAAAATATTCTCTTCGCGGATCAAAATACAAAACTCAGTCTATTGAATAAATTAGAAACTCCTACTGATTTACTGTACGATGAAAAGATCAATGCCATCATCATATGTGATTCTGGAAATCGACGTGTAGTACGATGGTCTCTTGAACCTAACACAACTCGAGTTGAAGAGCTTATTGACAACATCGATTGTTATGGATTGGCAATAGACGATGAAGATGCTCTCTATGTCACTGTCAAGGAAAGACATGAAGTCAGAAAATATCCGAAAGGAAATGCCACAGGAACAATTGTAGCTGGTGGAGGGTGGGGCGGAAATGGTCTCCATCAACTCTTTGGTCCCTCGCACATGGCACTAGATAGTGACGGTGCTTTATTTGTGTTAGACACTTATAATCGTCGTATAATGAAGTGGAAGAAAGGGGCAAAAGAAGGTATCATTGTCGCCAACTGGAGCAAAATATTCATGGGACAGTATCTATCTGAAAATCTCAATGATTTATTGTACGACAAAAAGACCAATTCCATCATCATATGTGATTCTGGAAGTCAACGTGTATTACGATGGTCTCTTGAACCCAACACCACTCTATTTAAAGGCATTATTAGTGACGTTTTTTGTTATGGATTGGCCATGGATGATGAAAGTGCTCTCTATGTCACTGTCCAAAATGCAAATGAAGTGAGAAAATATCCGAACGGAAGCACTAAGAGAATGACTGTAGCAGGCGGAAACAGAGCAGGATCTGATCTCCATCAGTTCTATAGGCCGACATATATTGCACTGGATAGTGAAGGCACCTTATTCGTCTCAGACACTATTAATAATCGTGTAATGCAGTGGAAGAATGAAGCAAAAAAAGGCGTGGCCATCGTGAAGCAAGGCAGAACATACTTTGGGTTACACCAATTAGACAGACCCACAGATTTATTGTACCACGAAAAGACCAATGCCATCATTATATGTGATTCTGGAAATCGACGTGTAGTGCGATGGCCTCTTGAACGCCTCACAGTTCGTGGTGAAGAGCTTATTGATAACATTGATTGTTATGGATTATCAATGGATGATGAGGATGCTTTGTACGTCACTATACCATTACAAAATGAAGTCAGAAGATATCTCAAAAATAATACGACGGGAACAATTGTAGTAGGTGGAAACGGAGCAGGAAATGGTCTCCATCAATTCAATAATCCTACATATGTTGCACTGGATAGTGAAGGCGCCTTATTCATTTCAGACACTGATAATGATCGTGTGATGCAGTGGAAAAAGGGAGCAAAAGAAGGTATCATCATCGCCGGCCATGGCGGTTATGGAAATTATTCACATCAATTGAAAGGACCTGCTGGTATCGTGTTGCACAAGAAGAATGATTCCATCTTCATTTGTGATCAAGGAAATCAACGTGTAATGCGATGGTCTTTAAAAAATGGAACAACTGTAGGAAAATCAATCATCAATAAAGTCGATTGCACTGGATTGACAATGGATGAGCACGAAACTCTGTACGTCACACACTCCTGGGAAAATGAAGTTAGACAATACCCTAAAGGATATACGCAATATATTGCTTTCAATTGTTATCTCACGGCCTGGAACAACAAATACTTTCGCTGCACACCTAATATTATCTCAGTGGACAGCAAAGGCACGATATTTCTACTAGATATTTATCATAACCTTGCAATTATGAGGATGAAAGGCACAGACAAATTCGTGAAGGTAGCAGGGCACCGTAAAAAGCGTGATCAGTTAAATCAATTACATATGCCGACAGATGTTCTTTTCGACAAAACGACTAATTCAATCGTCATTTGTGACTCAGGAAATCATCGTGTAATGCGATGGTCTCTTGAAAGTGGTACAACTGAAGGAACGGAGATCCTTCGTCTGGTTGATTGTGCAGGAATGGCTATTGATAATAAGGGCGCACTCTATGTTAGTAATGTGGATTCACGTGATATTAGAAGATACAACAAAAATAGCATCACAGGTATGGTCGTAGCTGGTGGAAACGACGAAGGATACGGTCTTCATCAACTCGGATACCCCACTTACGTCACAATCGATAGTGAAGGCACGATCTACGTGACTGACGATATGAATCATCGTGTGATGAAATGGGTAGAAGGTGCGAAAGAAGGTATTGTCGTGGCTGGTGGTCACGGATCAGGAAATGGTCTTACACAATTGTCATATCCTGCAGCAGTCGTTGTCGATCAATTGGGCACTGTCTATGTGGCTGATTCTGGCAATGCTCGAATCATGCGCTGGCCCAAAGGAGCTACAGAGGGAAGTGTGATTGTTGGTGGAAACGGCGAAGGAGGACAATTGAACCAATTGTATCAGCCAGAGGGTTTGTCGTTCGATCGACACGGTAATCTCTATGTTGTCGATCAAAAAAATTATCGAGTACAAAAATTCGACATCGATTCAAATAAATAAGAGACTTATACCTTCTTCGAACATTTCCAAATACGTATCTATTCTATAAACCTACTCTAATTCTTTGGAATTCTTAAAAATTCAAATAAATATCATTCAATACTTATAAATATACGCATCCTACATTAAGGACACCTTGAAAAGCAGAAATCAAAAAATAACGAAACGGGGCCAAGACGTGGCGGAATTACGCGAAAAAGGAAAGCTTGGAATACTTTGAAGGCTTGAAACTTTTAGGATGCCAAGTATTCCCGATGGATTTCGAATAGGTTTCAAAGAATTCCGAAGGATTCTCAAGGAGAATGTGGCTGTGGATATGGGTCTGGGTGTGGGTGTCTGTGTCTGTGTCGGTGTGAGTGTGAGTGTGGGTGTGGATGTGAGTATGTAGGTGTGGATGTAGGTATGTAGGTGTGGATGTGAATATTCATTTTCTGTATAGCCACACTCTACACACCCACACCCACACCCGCACCCACGCCTACACCCATACCCATACCCCACACCCTCAATATGCAATGCGCTTTCTTACTTTTTCCTAGATTTTCATCAAAATCTCAAGCTACTATGATAAAAAGTGCGAAAACGTAGTAAAAAAATCAACAAAATTCCCTATTATTTGCACATGTAAGTACATGATTTCATTTGCTCAACGTTAGAATGTAATAGGAAAACCATTTATGTTGTATATTGAACTATAGAACTCAAGTCCCTCTATCTAAATCAAAGGTAAAAATCAAAATTTCATCTAGCTGATAGGTCATTTTCATGAGTTCTTTTGCGTGTTTTTCGAATATGATTAGTTTTAGAATGATTTCGTCTTATACATTACCAAAGAAAAAGACGTCTGGACTCCTCCTCTTTCGATTAGTGAAAATCGCAGGTCACCAGCTGTTGCGGTTGTCGAGTTATTTAGCTTACACCAATCCCTATATAATTCTGGCGCCGACAATAGTATCGAATTTCTGTCTGATTGATCAATTCATGGCGCAAATCAGATCGTAATTATTATTTTTTCCTTTCAAAACTGTAAGTCTTGACTTTATATTGGTCGTTATTTGACTACTAATTTTATTTTTTTAAATTAATTCAATTTTAGTGTACTTGTCTCATTCATAATCAAGCTGATCGTTAGCACTTTATTTGTTCGTAGCCGCATATTTGTAAAAGATTATTAGAACATATTTCAATAAAATAATCCGATCCTTCACTTGTCACTATCTGTGTGTGATATCAGTCTATGACCGTTTCACATTACGTTTGTGAACTGTAAAATCAAGTCTCTGTTTCTTAAAATGTTGTCAACTACAATGGGTCCATAAGGATAGTATAGGTGTGATTTGTCAAGACAATGCGCATTCTATTCGTATGTTTCCATCATATCACTTTATTTTGGCACTTATTCAGTCATATACAGGGTATACAGCGTGTCCCATAAGTAGCATTACGATAAAAAATTCAAATATCTCCACTTTAGTTCAATTCAAATAAACTGATTTTTTGGCTATTGGTAGAGCTTTATTCAAAATTTTGTTTTCATACAAATAATTTTAATAAATACTTCTATTAAGTATTATTGTTGACTTCACTAAAGAAATTTTATCTGTTATCAAGTGAGAAAAATATATGTGAAGCGTTTCCTAGATAATTTTTAATTGTCATCTAAGAGAACAGCAAGAAGAAATAAAAACAGATTTTATGAATGATACAACATTGATGCAAATAGATCAAACATTCAGAACTAGTTAGTTTCAACGCTAAAATTCGTATCCGAAAACTAAAAGGGATAATTAAAACCCTTGGAAAACCGAATCGTCTACTTCCGCGGAAAAAATAATGTTTCGTGCTTGAAAATTCGAAATATTGTAATCGTTGATTTTTAAACTAGCCATTTCTTACAATTTAGTATGTTTGCATCAATGTTGTATCATTCATAAAATCTGTTTTTATTTCTTCTTGCTGTTCTCTTAGGTAACAACTAAAAATTATCTAGGAAACGCTTCACATATATTTTTCTCACTTGATGACAGATAAAATTTCTTTAGTGAAGTCAACAATAATACTTAATAGAAGTATTCATTTAAATTATCTGTATGAAAAAAAAAATTTAAATAAATCTCTCTCAATAGCCAAAAGATCAGTTCATTTGAATTGAATCAGAGTGGAGATATTTGAATTTTTTATCGTAATACTACTTATGGGACAACCTCTAGATTTTTTTCTAGATTTTACAACAATACCTCCTTATTCACCCGCAGTTGAGTCAACTTGCACAAAGAAATGGAAAGAAAACCTATCGAAATAAAAGAAAACAGCGACGTATTGTTTATGTAGCTATGTCAACAGAGCACATGGAAGAAAAAACAGAATGCAAAAATGCAGTGTGTAAATTAAGACATTACAGTGAATTGTGAAATGCAGATCTCTTCCAATAGAAACGTCATTCACGTGGTTGTTCTTCTCCTGATTACTATTGAATTACTGTCAATCGGCAAAATTCACTCAAACTGAAGTATGTTTGCAAACACAGCGATGCAATTTTTCTTTCATATTTATGACACCTAAATCTTAGGGAGATGATAGTCAGACGCGGAATGATTTGATTGACAGGGCGACTTGGCAAATAGTGAGTATCTCTCTACATGAACAAAGTCCATCAATAGAATCTTAAGAATCTTATAGATGACTCAAACAACAAGAAGTAACCATATATTTAATAGTTGTAACTTGAATTCAATTATCGAAGTCAGTTTCAAGTATTTGAATAAACATTTATTGAATACTTTGAGGCGGGCGAAACTCCTAAGAAAGAAAGGGTGTTAGGCAAAACTTTAGAGATCCACTTAAATGGAGGAGGCAAACCCTGAAGAGTGATTCCTTTAGACGGGCACAATCCTAGGTTTGAGAGTAGGCCATGGTGAAGCCTTAAGGAATGAAATTCTGTGAACTAGAGATGTTCGGAACCGATACCACGAGAAAGAGAACTTGATGGGATCCGACCGGAACTATGAGAAAAAAAACTTGTTCTAACCGAAACTAAGGATAATAGTTAAATGTTCTATCCTTTTAAGCGAATTATCGAATAAATCATAAATAAATCCATAGATATCAAACCGCTTTTTAAGAAAAAGTTTTTTCTATCAAATTTTTGTACTGGTTGGGCGAGAAGTGGAAAAACAGAAGCTTTGGGCGAAAAAAATGTGGCTTCTATTTGAAATACTGGAGATTCAGGCCGATTTCGAGAAACATATAAGGAGGGGAAAGGACACCCAGATTATTACAATGTTTTTTGCCAAAAGATAAGAGCCCACTAGACTAGCACAACCTCCAACGGATTCCTTGTTTCAATGTACTACGACCGAGATATAAGATTTTTAAGGAGTATGACTTTTGCATAATTTGGCAAAAACGCTTTTTTTTCACAGTAAACACGTAGAGGTCGTGCTCCTTAAAACTCCTATATCTCGGTCATAGTACATTGAAAAAAAAGAATCCTTTGGAGGTTGTGCTAGTCTAGTGAACAATTACCTTTTGGCAACATATAAGCTTTAAACATTGTAATAATCTGGGTGTCCTTTCTCCTCCTTGTACGTTCCTAGAAAGTGACTTGAATCTTCAGTATTTCAAATACAAATTACAAATTCTTTTCGACCAAAACTATTTTCTGTCCACTCCCCGCCTCGCCTAACCAGCACAAAAAATTTGATAAAAAACTTTCCCAAAATGTGATTGGATACTCATGGATTTACCCATGTATGAGTTATAAGAGAGTTCATGAGAACATCAACGAACCGAGGCACTGGACGACATTTATTTTTAAAATTTTTTTGTGCATTTGAAATACCATCATCTAAAACTACCAAACCCAAACTTTTAGCTCATTTGGATATACTATATAATAAAGTTAGCCCATAGGGACCTTTTTAGCACTGCATATCTACTATCAAGAAAATAGTCACAAAGCATCTCATAAATATCTATTAGAATTATACTTCAATAAGTCAGAGGCTTTTTCATGCTATATACCAAAAGATAGATTATCAAGAGCTAAAAAATAACCTATTTAAAATATTGCATATTATTTATTTACTAGAATTTTATAGTGTAATATGAGTGAAAATGGCCACAATTTATCAGTCTAAAACACCCAATTTTTCGCAGTATTTCTGCTGCCATCTTTCGAAATCGAACAGGATCAAGCTGAAATTTTTGTATGTTATGCAACTTTTGATCCTCTACAAAATGGCAATCAATACTAGAAAAAAAAATTTGCCTTCGAGGCAATATGAAGATTACACTGTCACCATTTATGGTGGCCCTATAATAGGACTTATATGATATCAAGTAGATTTCGTCAAATGTTTTGTTCCCAAGTAGGCACCACCATATATGAGTGAGGAGTGCACATCGAAATCGACATTTTAATATCGAATATTCAAGATTACACGCAAGATTAGTTAGCTCAAGTCCAGCTACCAAGTATTTAGGAGTGTGTTTCTGACCCCCATCCGAGAATTAAGGAACTAGTAAAAGTTATTTTTTGATTTAACATGTTTATCTAAATCAGTGTAGTTCGAAGTTTCAAAAACTCAATCTTTAGCGTTTAAAATTGTTCTGATGAAAAGTTAGGCAATGCCTACTTTTGATGAGACCTGAATCGTTGTCAAAAAACAAGTATATGAAAATGTTTTCAAGGATTTGAGTCTAACAATTGGTCAGAAAATGAAACAATTCATGTTTTAAATATACTACTTACAATTTCTCTCAGCTTCACCAATGCTCATAGTAGAAAGGTTTGGCTATACTTCAAATCTTTTAAGATCTTTCTATATGAGACAGAAAATGGTTCTCATTCGAAAACAATTGCCCTATAAAAATTGTCATTTTTCAGCTGCTTGTTTTTGATCAACCTAGAACAAACGGATTCAAAAGTTCTCAACATCAAAGTAGATTTTCTGCGTAGTTACAGTACGCTTTTGTCAGGTGCTACTACACTTTGAAATATATATTTTACGTCAAAACTCGCTCAGAATATTCGTCCAAAGACAGTTTTAAATTAAGATTTTGAATATCTAATAGAAGAAAAAATGGGTTCTTTTTCAATCCACCGTTTCTGAGAGCAATCCTAATCTGCTCATGAATCTTCTAAATTCTCAATTTCTATTTGCATTAATAGATTCATTATCTAGAGAAGCCGTCAAAAACAATTATGAGTAAGACATCTTCGAACAGATCCGATTCTGACAATAATGATTTTAAAATGAATAATGGTAAATATGCTACCATAGAAGCTGGCGATCATCAAAAATTTTCTTCTTTATTACAAAAATTAACATACTCAGAAGTACCAAGTAATGATGATCTACAAGAACATGAGCACGTATTACAGTCAACGTTGGATTATGTTAATACAGCTTTTGAATCATCAGAATATTCTTATCTAACAAATCACATTTTACCTACATTACTCAATTACTCCGATAGAACAGGTCTTGTACCCTGTTTAATTAAAACTGATTATCCCAAAGCATTATTAAAATGGCTCAGTGCAATTTCAAAGTAAGAGAAATTAAATTACATACGTATTATAGTCAACGAAAATGTTGTAAACTTATCTTTGAATCTCTGTTTTTTTGTTTACAGGCAAGGACAATCAGAGGATGTTCGGTATATAGTTGGTATGATTTATAATATCAGTCGTCATGATGATGGCATACAAGCTTTAAATTCTCTTGACACCACCGATAGAATCAAGGAAATTCAGTCGCATAACAATGATCAAGAAGTAAATATCCTTTGCTCTATGATTATAGCTCTCCTGTCAACATCTGAACAAATTAAAAATGATCGTAAACGAATGAATAATATACTTGATCAATTATTACAAATTGTTGTGGATGCATCAAAAAGACCACCCCGTTATCAGGCTGGAGGATGGCACATTTCAGAACCGTTGATTGTTTTAATAAGATTAATTTGTTACGAACGTACACTTGATTATATCTTACAACATGCACAAGTTGAATTTGGGACATCGTCAACAACTGAATTTTTTATCAACATATTATTGAAATTTCACAAAGAAATTAGCGAAGATGATCGTCTCAAGCTATCAACCTGTACAGCACTCTGCAATATTCTGTGGAGTATTTCACTTCGTCCTCAATATAAACAAGAATTACAAGAGAATGAAGAATTCAAGATGTTGATTGAGAAAATAGCCACTGATAAAGTTATTACTAATTCTGCTCAGTACGTACCAAAATATATTGAAAACATTCAGAAAGCTGCTGACGGTATTCTGTGTAATATCAACGACAATAATCAAGTCAATATTCCAAGTGTGACAGAAGATGAACGACGTAAACCTGTAGTTAGTGCATTAATTCCATCTACGTTGACGAACAACAAGCCATCAATTATGATTAGCTATGCCCATAATGATAACAACATTTGTACGCAGTTGTACAATGAATTAGCTAAGCATAATCAGCAATTTGATATATGGATCGATTGGAAAAATAGTAAGACAGGATATTTATGGGGTAAAATAGCTGATGGTATAGCAAATTCAAGTGTAATCTTATGTTTATTGTCAAACAAATATTATGAAAGTAAATCGTGTCAACAAGAATTTGTCTATGCACATGATCATCTCAAAAAACCAGTGATACCTATTTATATTTTTGATGATAAACCACCTGGCTGGTTAGGTATGTCACATAGTCAGTATTTTAATTAAAAAAAAATTAGGCAGAAATGTGATACTTTGAGCTAGCAACTGGCCATTTTCATATGGAACTAACTTTTTCTCACTTTTGAATTTGGGAAAGTGACAAAACTGGGATTTCAAGCAGAGATGCAAACAGGACAATTGTTCTGTTTTAATAACAAGAAAAACTTTTTCTGCCAATTCCATAAAACGAACGCTAAACCTATGAAAGTAGTGTTATTGGATGCAAAAATATTCGCTCTACATGCATGTTTACTTAGTTTCAAAATTGAATGTTTATTAAGAAAGTTATAACTCCATAGGAATCCTCGCCCCGTTCCATGGAACTTGCTCCGTAGAGGTTATAACTTTCTTAATGAACATCCAGTGTTAAAGCTAAATGAAAAAGGCGTGTAGAGTGAACACTTCTGCATCGAATAATACTACTTTCATAGTTTTAGCGTTCGTTTTATGTCGTTGGCAAAATAAGTTTTTCTTGCTACTAAAACAGAACAATTATCCCATGTGCATCTCTGATTCCAAAGGAAATTTGTAACAAAAAAAGAATCCCTCAGATCGAACTCTTTCGAATAGCTTTTTGTTCAAAAGATGCTAAATAAGATGGCCTTAGACACAATTTTTCCTGCTAATTCCAAATATAAAGGGTGTTCCATAATAATTGAGGATAAATTGTTAATGATATTTTTCATATTTTTGTTTGACGGACAGAGCTGAAATTTTTATTACATATGTATCCAATTGAGATCTTTGAATTCTGAAAATTTCAGTTCTGTAACTATAACTAATGGTGAAATACATCGACAGAACTGAAATTTATAATTTTCTATCGATGTATTTCACCACTAGTTATAGTTACAGAACCAAAATTTGCAGAATTCAAAGATCTTGATTAGATATATATATGTAATAAAAATTTCAGTCCTCTATGTCAAAAGTATGAAAAATATCATTAGTTAATTTATCCTCAGTTATTATGGGACACCCTTTATATAAGTTGTTGCATAAAAATGTTTCTGAAACGAGAAAAGTTAGTCTTACCGCAAAAACCAATGGTTTTTGAAAAATCTTCAACTACTAATAGAAAAATATGTATATTCACAATAAATGCAGAGTACTAACATGAACATCTTGGTTTAAAGATGAGTTAGATTAGATCTTCAGTAATAAGGAAACATTCTTCGATAGCACGCTCTGTTTTCTTCGCCCACATCTTCATCGATAGAAAATATGGATGTGTTAAAAAGCCTAAAAGAATTCGGACTGATAATTTTTTCTCGAAAGATACGGTCAGTTTTCTATTTCTTTTAAACGAAAATGTGAAAAATAAGTCGCAAAACTCATAACTCAGTCAAATAGTGGAGTAGACGGCTAAAAATCACAAACAACCATCCTATATGCATTGAATTTATACACTGAAAATGTCAGCTTCTAGCTCTTTTTGTCTTTAGGGTAAAGAATTCCCAATTTGCAAATTCACATCTGAATACGGGTGCAGTAAAATATCAATAACTTCCAAAATTCTTGCTCCAAATCAATCAAACTTATTAAATCAAAATAGCTTTGATTGGAAAAGTATGCGCCTCCAAATCACGTTTACCGAATATGTGGGTGCTTAATTTTTGAGTCAGTCTCTAATGAATCCGGAATCGAAACACGTGTGTAAACAGCTTTTCGACATTGTAAGCCTGTTGTGCTATCAAAACTGCAGTTATCTTGAATGTTTGGCTGGTTTTGACCGAGAATTGTAGAAGTTATTGATAGTTTCGTGTATACGTGTTTAGATGCGAACCTCATAAGAATAATTTTCTGCAAGTTCCAGCTCACTGCCCTTTCATTCGACTGAGTTAGAAGTTTTTTTTATAGGAAAAACAAAAAAAAATTGTCGCGACTTTTGAAAGAAAGAATCATGGATAAGAATTTTTTTAGACCTTTTACAACGTTCATATACCCTCTTGATCGAGATATGAGCGAACGAAAACAGAGCGTATCATCAAGAAATATTCTTAGTAAGTCTCATATTTCGATTAGATCGGAAACATTCTTGGACACCCGGATATCGCGACAAAAATGCAGTTTTCTACCAGAATTATTTGAAACAAAGTGAAATTTTTTTAGCATTCAATAGCCGATGTTTTTGTACTCGAAAAATTACCGAAATGAAGCAGTCTGAATGTTTCTTTCGAAGTACATGATCAATATTTCTAAAAATATATTCATCGGTGCTTGATTTTGTCTTACCAATTTTCTTACCAAAGAAAACTCGTAGAAACAAAATTTTTGTTTTTCGTCGTTACATGACCGTCATTTAAAGCGTGTATAATGCTATTTAGATCAGAAAAAAGGTGAACTCACAATTTTCCATTGTTTTAGCAATCCATACATGTATAATGAAATACGTTCGTTTTCGTAACATAAAACAGCTGGAACAAGATAAATTAAAAGATTTAATTGAAATGATCGAAGAAAATCTATCAGGAACAAGTGCTAAAACAAATGAAAATTTGCTACCACCCCATTCGGCACCCGTTCATCATGAACTGTTACCGGTTGCACAAAAACTAAAAGAAGAAGTGAAACTGAACGCATCAAATAAAGAGATGAATTCAGGGTTTGTAACTTCAGTTATGGGAAAGTTGAGCTCTTGCATTAAATCTACCACTTTGTTCCATGTCTATTTCGTTTTTAGACCGAAAACGGATCTTTCTCGAAAATCAATTGAACATTGGGATAAAAGTGATATTAAACAATGGTTTCAAGAGAATAAAATTTCAATAGATCTGTATAAGTTATATCAATTCGAAGATGGTACTCAACTACTGAGTTATGCAACTAGTCTTTCGAATGACGAAAAAATTGAATTACATCGTCAGATATATTCTGATGAATTCGCTGAAATGTACAGAGGTAAACGACTCTTACCACATCAATTTACAGCGTTTGCCTATGCTTTACGAAAACTAAGTTCTGAACAAGTTAAAACTGAAATGAAACAGACCGTTAATCATTCTGCTATAAAAAAAACAGCTGAAACAAACAAATCACAAATGTGTGAAATATTATAATTCGTATATTTGGTACAAACATTGCCATTTTTTTGCGTGAATGTAGTTAACATTAGAATATTGTGTTTGCACTAACAAAGAATATATTAATGTGAAACTTATGTATTCAGTTCTTCTTACCATAAAAATTTTTCAGTCTCCAAAAAAAAGATCCAGAAATAACATATTAAAAACGATTATAACGTATAATTTCATGATGGAAAAGAAATCATTAACACAATTACCTAAAAAATATCATTTTACGGGTGGGTGTGGGTGTTGGTTTGTATCTTAGGTTCACCTACATCTATACTCACACCGACACCCACACTCACATCTACACCCACACCCATCATGTGATATACTGAAAAAAAATGTAACTTATTGAAGTGTGTCAACAATTTGAAGAATCTTTAGAAATTTTTTATCCATTATGATGTTAAAATAAGTTTGATCTTGTTGAAAACGGTATGATTCTTGACACATTATGGAATTACATTAAGAAAATTGCAATCACGACAAAAATTCGTAAAACATCAAATTTCTTAAAAACAATAGAATATAATCAACCTAATGATTATAAGTATTCTTAACGAAGACAAATAACACAAATTTTTATGAGACGAACTTATTTTAAAATGATCATTAATTGTTCCTCGACAAAATTGAGCAGATATATAATTCTGATGGGTGGATACCAGGAGTTCTCTTTTCAATGAGGATGCACGTTGGCATAGATATTCTCTTCATCATTAAACCAAAACTCTTGAAATGTCAATCAGTTCGATGGATATTGTTGTCTACTGTGGCTGAAAATTGATAAAAACTCACTTTTCGAAACTTGGTTTTCAGAGAATAAAAATGGTTCAATATCTTGTTTAGTTCAGGTCATTATTTATGTGGATCACTTCGTTTTTAGTAACATGTTGAAAATGGCAATAACTTGAACAAGCATGACAAGTGTCTCAAATTGATTGAATTAGTGACGACTCAAATTTAAATTGTTAAACAATCATAATCCTTCGCATTACATTCGTTTCAAGACTTTGCTTGTCAGAACTTTGAAACCGGTGAGAATGTCTCTATTGAGTTCGAGTTTTTTTAATGTACCATATTCGATGGCACAAGATCATTCAATGTTGTATAATTACTATAGCTTATTTCGATTTGTCCTTCTTGAGCTTGTAAGAATAATTATTCTTTTCAATCTGAAGGTCATTTTGTTTTTTGTGTCTTCTATTTGTTAGTGCTTTCTTTCGTTCTCACAAACCTTGAAAAAAAAAGAGCAATTTGAATGTGAGGATAAGAGATAACGTGACTGTGTTGCACATGTTGATTCAGTTTACCAACAGTTTTTCTTCGACACATTGCATTCAACTTTCAGGTAATCAAAGACATATTTGCTCATCTATAGTTTTTCATAGGTCTTCATTAAACACAGATCATTATTTCAAATTTCTGGAAATTTTTTCATCAGAATACTTCATTTTTAAACATGTACAGAGCAAACTCTTATGATTTCATATACGACTGTTTAACTCATTTGATGTAAAGTTAATTTTTCGAATATGATATTCAAACGAATCGGATGAATTCAATTCATCAACGTGGTTTTTAGTCCGAGAAATAACTTCTACAAGAAAAATTCTCTCTCTCTCTCTAAGACGTTATATAATCATTGACAAGCGAAAGATTAGCTTGAGACGTTGTCTCAAATTTTCGCCATCAATATAGATCTGTAGTGAGCTAGTCAAAATTTCTCTATTTTCAATATCTATTTAATAAAAAAGTTGTTCATTTGAGTAATAACCTCATATTTAATTTTCTGGGTGCTCTCTATCGTTTTCATGAATGAAATTGGTAATTAAAAAAATCGTGTTCATAGAGAACTCTTCTTTACAAAATCTGATTTCTCGTACACAGACAATGAGAAACTCATATCGAGCACATTGTTCATCATGAAAAATTTAGTTCCGAAGATTCAATAATCTAGAAAAAGAAAGTATATGAGTACTAAAAGAGATCGAAACAATCGATAAACGTATCAATAACAGAGATACAATTATTTCATACGCAAGTACAAAGATCAGTAGTAAATGTAACAATGAATGGAGAAAAAAATCAAATTGGTTAAAGAATTTAAATATTTAGAGTTTATATTGATGAATAGACTATCCTTCAAATCAACAGTCGAGAAAAGTATAGAAAATATCCAGAGTAGCAAAAATATAACGCAACATTTTCTTTTATTTCTTTCTTTCATTCTTTGCTCTTTGTACTCTTGCAATTTCGCTACTGCTCATCAATACACCTCTCGTTTTACAACATCTTGTATTTATTCGTTTAGTTTCTCGTTTGATATCTCTACAAACGTGAGCCACAGTACTCAGCGTACAAATATTCATGGCATATTGTGAAACACTTTGCATTCATAATGTAGACTCTAGCTTGCTTAAATATATTCTTTTCTTTTTTTTGATCATGTAAGCACTTCCGATTATGACATCTACTAGCATAATAAAAAAAACCATATCGAACACTGAATATTCATTTTCAAAAAAGAAAAAAGAATTCTTTCTCGATTTTCAACTTGAGATAATAATTGAAACAACTAATTTTTATCGATTCAATACTAATATCGAGTGAATGCTATAGGACTTAGGTCAATAAATATGAAAGATAGTTTGAAATATCCAGTTTGTTTTCTGACTGTTTATCTATATGTATCAGACATGTTTCCTTTGAACACTGGTCGTTTGATCGCCTGTCCATCACGCGTCTGGACTATCATCAGAATTCAAAAACGAAATAATTCTACGAGAAAACTAACCTCAAGTTATTATCATCATGCATCTCCATTTCGAATGGTTTATAAAACATTGAGTCAGAGCTTCGATGAAACAGCTGACAAATATTCTGATCATGAATGTCTCGTTTTCAAAAGTAAAATCATAGATCTTTATTTGTTTTTCTGCCTCATTAGTTCTCCACTTGACTAGGTGAACAAAAACGATACACATACAAGACATTCAAAGAAGAAGTTGATAATATAGCAGCCTCGCTTCTCGACTTAGGCTTCCAAAAGAATGATCGTTTTGCTGTTTGGCTTCCAAATACATCCGAAAATGTGACCATTTCTTATGCAGCCTCGAAATTGGGTTTAGTTAAAGTAATTAGAAATTCTTTTTGAATTTTTAATCTATTTTGTATTTCATTATTCTATTTTAATCTAATCATTAGGTAAATATCAATCCAGCTTACGTTGAACGAGAACTAGAATATTGTATCAATAAAGTTGGCTGTAAAGGTATCTTACTTTCACCATCGACTAAATCATTCAATACACTTGAAATTTTTCGTCGATTGGTACCGGAGCTCGGCCAAAGTTTCTCGTCGACTAATGAGCTTTCAGCTAAAACAGTCCCTACTTTAAAACATGTGATTTTAACTGGTACACAAACATCGATGCCAGGTGTTCATTCGTATGAAGACTTAATCAAACGAGGTGGTCAACTATCTCACAAAAGTCTTATTGAAAGGCAAGCATCGATTGATCCTGATGCACCCTTTGAAATCTTCTACACTTC